TTAATCCCAGCACTTGAGAGGCAGAGGCAGGCAGATCTCTGTGAGTTTGAGGCCAGCCTGGTCCGCATAGTTCCAGGACAGCTGAGGCTACAGGGAGACCCTGTCTCAAAAAGACCAAAGGAAAAAACAAAATAAAAAAAAAAAAAACCCACTCATATTCCTAGGAATTTTTCTGCTCAAAGAACTTTTATTCAACATTTCTTCTGTCACTGTTTGCCACACCTTAAAAAAATGAAAAACAATAAACACATTTGAGAAAACAATATATTAAGCATATTATAAAAATATAAAAGTTAAAGAAAAAAAGCCGGGCATGGTGGCGCATGCCTTTAATCCCAACACTCAGGAGGCAGAAGCTGGGCTATCTTTGTGAGTTCGAGGCCACGCTGGTCTACATAGGGAATTCAAGGACAGCTGGGGCTACAGGGAGACCCTGTCTCAAAAACACCAAAAAAAAAAGTTAAAGAAAAATACCAGTGTAGAAACTTGTCACTTTTCTCTCAGCATATATCCAGGCATGTACAGAATTTACAGCTTCATTTACTTCTGCGGTGCTGGGGCTCCAACCCAGGGACCTATCATACATGCTTCTCTAGTAGCCTACCATTGAAACATACACCCAGACCTCAATTGTTTTTAATAGGACAGATTTAAGTATACTTATTTTTTATATTTTATTTTATTTTTATGTATAGGAGTGTTATGCTTGCATGTATTTAAGTGCACCTATGCTGCGCAATGCTTGCAGAAGTCAGAAGAGGGCATCAGATCATCTGGAACTGGAGTTACAAATGGCTGTTAGTCACCATATGGGTGCTGGGAATCGAACCTGGGTCCTCTGCAAAAGAAGCCAGTGCTCTTAATCACTGAGCCATCACTCCAGTTCCAATTTATATAATACATAAATGTAAAGATATTTAAAATGAAGATGACTTTTACTAAATAGTACTCTATCTGATCTAATTGCTGATAAAAATTTAGTATTTAACGAGCAATACTGTAGTCAATACAGGGACCTGAAGGATGTACCATAGTATATATAAACTGAGTAGAATTTCTGAAAAGCTGAGAGATGAATGGGAGGCACAAGTCGAGTAGAAACATGTATATGTATAATGGGGGATTATAACTATATTCACAATGAGTATAGAAATATTCTCTATTTGGTCTGCAGAGAGGTGTTCTTGCAAAGGATCCAAGTTAGGGTCCACCTGCAACTCCAGCTCTAGGACATATGATGCCCTCCTTCTAGCCTCCTGGGATACT